GGCAGATCCCCCGTGACCCCATCCCCATCCACAGGGCTACCAGCTGCACGGGACAGAGGTGAACGGCGGCCTCCCGGCAGTGTCCACCTTCTCCGCCGCCCCCACAGCCGCCTATGGTGGTGTCTCCAGCCACACGCCCCCCGTCAGCGGGGCCGACAGCCTCATGGGTACTGGCTCTCTTCACCCCGCTTCCAGATGGGGCCCCTCCAAGCTCGAAGCCTGGCTGGGTGCAGGAGCCGGGCCCCCGTGACTCACGTCCTTCCTCTCCTGGGCCTGCCCCGCACATGAACTCAGGCTCCTTGGGCCACACCTCTGATGTTTGGAAATGGCCCTTTGAAGAATGGCTCCTCAGTTTACATCTGGGGAAACTGAGGCTCCAAGGAAAATGGTTCACGTGGGTCCTGCTACCTACCTGCCTGTCCCCAGAGCCTCTGTGGTGGCAGGGGGCAGGACTCCAGGCCGTTAACCAAAATCAGGGGCTGCCCAGTGCTGGGTGGGGGCCTCCGTGCTCGGCAGCCAAACACAGACGGGAGCTCCTGGGGGCGGGCGATGCCCCTTCCCTGAGGTTGGGCTTCACCTCTCTCCACCCCCCAGGCTCCCGCGGGACAACTGCCGGCAGCTCTGGGGACGCCCTTGGGAAGGCATTGGCCTCGGTGAGGCGTGGGACACGGCGGTGGCAGGGGTGGCTGGGCTGGTGAGCCCCAGAGGCCGGTCCCTGACTGGTGGCCCCGTGTCTCTTCTCATCCCTTTTGCAGATCTACTCCCCGGATCACTCAAGCAATAACTTCTCCTCCAGCCCCTCGACCCCCGTGGGCTCCCCACAGGGCCTAGCAGGTCTGGGGGGGGGGGTTGCTGGGGAGGGGTGGGGGCTACATCTGGCACGTGCAGCCCTCAGTGGGTGGAGAGCTGGAGGGACCTCGGCTTATGGTTCCCATGGGCATCCAGGGAAGGCTCTCTGGAGGAGGTGGTCTCCAGGACAGTCCATTTTCTGTGAACAGTGAGGGGCAGGTGGGATCTCACAGGGCCGGGCAGAGGGTGCAAGAGTCAGAGTAACAGGCCTGGACTCCCCAGTGTGGACAGGTTGGCATTTGTCCACTCGGTACGTGATAGGCACCAGTTGCATGCCTTGGGTTTGGCTTTGCCAAGGGGGCCAGGTCCTCCTGTCCTCAAGAAGACCTACCTGGGGGTCAGCTCGTGGTGAGGTTCCTGGAAGGCCGGGTAGTTTTATAGACACCCCGCAGGGCCTCACCTCTGCAGCGGGAGTCCTCAGGGACGCTCGCCTCGCCCTGGCCCGTGCAGGGCCCCCGGGGTGAACCTCTGCCCAGCTCTGGTTCCAGCTGCTGGTACGGCAGACTGGCCCCTGGGGCACCTACCACGTGTGCTGCTGGGCTGCCTTCCCCGTAGAACGTGGGGCGTCGATTTTGGAGCCGGGAACCTGTCTGCTGGGTGGGTTCCCAGTAACCACCTGGCTGGCCTGGCCAGGGCTGAGTTTCTGTCGGCCCTGCGGGCGTGGGGGCCCCCGTGTGGCCAGCCCAGGCATCTCAGGCCCCTGGCCCACTCCCCACCCAGCCTCTCTCTCGGTCTCTGAGTCCGGCTGCTCGGACACCCAGCCTCAGGTGCCCCTGCTGACGCGCCACCTACCCCTTCCAGGGACGTCGCAGTGGCCCCGACCCGGAGCCCCTGGTGCCTTATCGCCTAGCTACGATGGGGGTCTCCACAGCCTGGTGAGCTTCCTGCCCCAGCCTTCCGGGGCCGGGGGGGGCTGTCTCTCATGGGTGCGTGTGGCTGGGAGGGGGGGGTGCCCCCTCGTGGGAGCGCCCCGGGAGGCGGGGCACGGTACACGTGGGTATAATACTCACGTGGACCCTGGGGTGGGGGAGGTGGCCTGTGAGAGCGAGCGGCTCAGCGTGTCTTCTGTGGCCAGTTTACAAAACTTGGAAACTGTGGCCCTTAAGAGCCATTAGGCCCCTGTGACTGGTGGAATTTACAGGTCAGACCCTTTGACGGTCCATTTGTCGGGCATCAGGTCCAGAGCTGTCGCCGTGGCGTTAGCGAGGGCGCACGTTGTATGCAGGGTCCCAGAGGCCCAAGCCCTTGACCGCCTACCCCCTCTGCCCCGCAGCAGAACAAGATGGAGGACCACCTGGACGAGGCCATCCACGTGCTGCGCAGCCATGCGGTGGGCACCGCGGCGGATGTGCACGGGCTGCTGCCTGGCCACGGAGCTCTGGCCTCCGGCTTTGCCGGCCCCGTCATGTCACTGGGTGGGCGACACACTGGCCTGGTGAGTGCCGTTTGAGGGTGGGCTGGGCAGGGGGTCAGGGCGGCACAGCCCTGACAAGCCCACTCTGCTGTACGCAGGTGGGAGGCGGCCCCTCGGAAGACAGCCTTGCGGGCAGTGGCAGCCTCATGCACAACCACGTAGCCCTCCCCAGCCAGCCCAGCACCCTCCCTGACCTTGCTCGGCCACCGGACTCCTACAGTGGTAAGCCTCAGTGTTGGGGCCCGGGAAGGGGTGGCTGACACCTCGGGGCCACCTGTGCCCTGATCCCCTGTGCAGAGCCTGGCTCATGCGTGGCGTGCCCCGAAACGATGTTCCTCCTCTGGAAAGCGGTGACCTGGGGCTCATCCCAGAGGGACTGAGAGCTGCCAGGCGCTGGGGTGGGTCCCTCACTGTACACAGCATCTCTTCATCCTGCACTGGGAAGCCCTTTGGGGGGCCAGCGAAGTCAGCCTGTCGGATCCTTCCTGAAGGGCGGTAGGGACCCTCACTCGTCACTTGTTCAGCGGCTTAGTTCATGCCGCGCAGCCAGCCTCCGCGTGTTTAGCACCAGCTGTGTGCTTGGGGCTCCTGTAGGCCCGTGGGCAATAAACTGGGAATTAAAAAGCCCCGTCCCTGGGGGGTGACCCACAGGGGGCTAAATGCAGCAGGAACGGGGTTAGGGGAAAGTGGGGAGGGGTGCAGGGGTACTTGCAGTTGTAAAGATGATGGCAGGGCAAGATTGTGCCACTTGGGCAGAGCTGGGGAGGAACAGAAACGTCTCAGACCCCCTGGGTGATGCTTGTGGAGGGGCCCTGGGGCAGGACCGTGCCTGATGTGCTGGAGAAGTAACGAGGAGCCCTGAGTTGGGTAAGAGGCGGGTGGTGAGGTCAGAGAGGTGACCGGGCAAGTCCTGCAGGGCCCTGTGGACGCGGAAGGACCCGGGCTTTGACCCAGAGGGGCCTGGGAGCCTTGGAGGGCTGCCCCCAGAGCAGGGACCTGCCAGACTGTGCCCACAGGCGCCCCCTGGCGGCAGCAGGGAGAGGGCGACCGGACCGTGTATGGCACCGGAAGCCGCGGGTGGAGGGAACTGCTGGTCCAGGAAGGGGGGTGGGGTGGGGGGCGAGCTCTGGATCCTGAAGGCAGATACCCCACGGGCTTTGCAGACGTGGAAGTGGTGGTGGGACGCGGGTCTGGAGTTCAGGGAGGGTGCCGTCCAGGCATCCTGGGCACTTGGTGGAGCTCAGAGCCAGGTCCGCGGGCAGGGTCACTAGGCAGAGCGAGTGGACAGAGCCCCAGCCTGAGCATTGTGCCGCCTGGATGGGGGGGCTTCGGAGGTGTCAGGAGCTGTGTCAGGCTCCTGAGGTGAGGACCCACTGGAGCAGCATATGGGGTCAGGCTGGTGGCTGGTGGCTGGTGGCTGTGGCGATGAATTTTCCTGGAAAAGACCAAGGAGGTGACAGCACTTTGCACGAGGCTGGAGGGAGGAGGTGGGGATGGGCCAGTGAGGGTCTCGTGGTCACCAGTCCCAGGGGTGCGAACACGGACTCTGCCACCGTGGGGGCAACCACGGCCGGAGACGGTGCGGGGACTCTTCTGCCTGGTCTCTGCCGTGTGCATGGCACTGATACTGCCTGGTGTCCCGAGCCCCCAGGAGCCCCCCGTGCACCCCACGTTAGGGCAGGTTCTCCTGTTCTGCCCAGGGGCCCTCCCCATCCCAGCCTCCCCACACCCCTCAAAACCCGCTTTGAGTTTGACAGCCAGCGATGCTCTGTGTTTCTTGATTTTTACCACTTTATGCAGGGGTCTCTCTGGGATACGTACAGTCGTCATGACTCAGGGGCGCTCCTGGCATTGGGTGGGGCTGGGGTGCGAATTGACCTCTCACAGTGCCCAGGACGCCCTGATGTCCGTGCTGTGGGATGGGGGTTCCCTGAGCTGAATCTCTTATCCCAGCTTCTCCCCCTCCCCTGCCTTCCCCTGCCCTCCCCTCCGCTGCCCCCCTAGTTCATCTGTTGCTGAGCCCGGGCCCCATTGCCGGTGCAGGTTTTGCTATCACCGAGTGTCGAGTTGCAGCATTGCTGTGCTGTGTACCTTCAGACCCTGTATTTCATGACGTGGTTTTGGGCTTTTGTAAAATTGGCATCTGGCTGGCATGTTGGGGCTGAGGATGGACCCTGGCCCTGATGTGGGACGTTAGGTTGTTTCCAACTGTCTGCTTTTGTGCTAGGTGCTCTCTGGAACGTTCTGGAACATGTCTCCAGAGTGTGCACCAGAGTTTCTCGGGTGTGATTCCAGGTTGTGGGGTTTGGAGGTATGCACGTGTCCACCTTCCCCAGAGAATGCCGGACTGTCCCAAAGTGGCCATGCCAACTTCCTCCCACAGGCAGTACTTCGCGTTGTTGGGCCCTGTCGTTTGGCCAACTTGATGACTTGCTGGATCCCGATTTGCATTTCCTCCGTTTATTGATGCAATGAAGCGGATTTCCACGCAGCCATATCCACTTCCTTGTCTCTGAATTGCCCATTTGGGAGCTTTCCCTATTTTCCTGTTGAGCTCCTGATCCTTTTCTTGTTGATTTGTGGGTGTTCTTTACAAATTACAGAGATTAAGCCCTCACTGGTTTATACAGGACACGTATTTTCTTTTTTTTTTTTTTTATAAAGATTTTATTTATTTATTTGACAGACAGAGACACAGCGAGAGAGGGAACACAAGCAGGGGGAGCGGGAGAGGGAGAAGCAGGCTCCCCGCGGAGCAGGGAGCAGATGCGGGGCTTGATCCCAGGACCCCGGGATCAGACGCTTAACGACTGAGCCACCCAGGCGCCCCCAAGGGCACGTATTTTCTATCCCGTGGCGTATCTTCTTATCTCTTGGTGGTATCGTGGCAATCAGAAATTCTCAATCAGGATACAGTCCCGGTTACCCATTTGTTTCTTCTTTCAAGAACAGCTCGTTTAGTGTTTTAGGAGCCCCTGGGTCACAGCAGGGTTTCAGTGCACTTTCTTCTGAAGGTTGTCAGGTCTTAGTCTGGAGCTGGTGACTGTGGTGTGAGGTAGGGACCGGATTCTAGGTCGTGTTCTTGTTTTATCGTTGGGGTTTTTGTGTGTTTTGTTGTTGTTTTGCCAATGAAGGCCTGGCTTTCCCCAGAGACCCCACTGCCTCCCGCGAGGGGCAGGGGCTCTGTCAGGGGGCCCCACGCGTGGCCAGACGGTAAAGCCCAGGCCTGTCGCAGGGCTCGGGCGCGCCGGGGCCGCCGCAGGTGCCAGTGAGGTCAAGCGGGAGCAGAAGGAAGACGAGGAGAACGCCTCGGTGGCCGACACCCCCGAGGAGGAGAGGAAGGAGCTGAAGCCGCCCCGGGCTCGGACCAGGTGCCCGCCCCCCCGCCCCCGCCCGGCCCGCCCGTCAGGACGCACGCACATGCACACGCACACGCACACGCTGCCCACCCTGCGAGGCCGTCGGCGGGCCCCCGCCCGCCCCCCCGCCTCACTGTCCCCCTCTGGCCCCCCCCGGGCCCCCCCCCCCCCGTAGCCCGGACGAGGACGAGGACGACCTTCTCCCCCCAGAGCAGAAGGCTGAGCGGGAGAAGGAGCGCCGCGTGGCCAATAACGCGCGGGAGCGGCTGCGGGTCCGAGACATCAATGAGGCTTTTAAGGAGCTGGGGCGCATGTGTCAGCTGCACCTCAACAGTGAGAAGCCCCAGACCAAACTGCTCATCCTGCACCAGGCCGTGTCGGTCATCCTGAATCTGGAGCAGCAGGTGCGAGGTCAGTGGGGGCGCCGCTCCCCTCCCCTGCCACCGCTGCCCTCGCTCTCCCCCCTTCCTGGAGCCAGCCTCCCCTGCTGCGACTGTCCCCCTCCTGCAGCGACGACCACCCCCCCCTGCTCTGAGCCCCCCCGCCACAGTCACTGTCCCCTCTCCGGCCACGGGGCCGCCCAGCGTGGCCCCAGTCTCCCCTCTGGAAATGGGAGGATGACACTCTTTGGACCCCTGGCTCTGCAGACCTGGGCATTTTGGCTCTGAATTCCATCCCTGGACCCCAGGCATGCCCGCCCACCCCAGCCCTCCTTTCTTGGGAAGGCTCTAGTCCTCTGGCTGAGGCCCCTGTGCCCCGGGGCCAGAGGCCGCTGTCGCTCTGAACAGACACATCCTTGTGGGGCCACTTCAGCCCATCGGCCCCCATCTACAAGTGGGGTCCCCCACCCCCGTTTTCCCAGGGCCGGGTGAGGATCCAGAAAGGCCCCCATGTGACTTGGCTCCCCAGCTCAGCTGCTTCCTTAACTAAGCCTCCCATGCCTGGCGCCCGTTAACCCCTTCTCTCCTGCAGCGCTGTCACTTGGGCCGGAGCTGGGGCCCTCGCCCCCCCGGCCTGCTGTGCCCTCAGCTCTGAGGGTTCCGTGTTTCCACGGTGGTGCGGGCACCCCGCCGGGTTCCCCGCGCCCGCCTCTCTGCTCTCTGCCTCCCGCACTCCACCCCCACCCCAGCGCATCCGTCCCTCCGCTTCCACGGCAGCCCCTCCTACCTCGCACTTGCTGCCCAAGCCCCGGATGGCAGGGCTGCGACCTTGGGGTCTTTCCTCCCCCAAAGCCCCCCAGTTGGGACTTGAGGGAAGAAAGGGGACCAAGGGGTGCACCAGCCTCAGGCCTGTCAGTTTGGTCTGCGCGCTTGTCCTGGGCTCCAGGGGCCGCCGCCGCCACCTGGCGGGATCCACTCAGGCCCAGGGGCGGGCGGGTGGGTGGGTGGACAAGGGCACAGTCTCCCCCTCCCCCCCACTGTGGGAGCAGGACAGGGCCCCCGGGAGCTGCTCACATGCAAGTGCCTCGGCTCGTCCTCCACCTCTGGGGCGCACACCAGGGCCGGGCCTTCACCCGCTCCATTTCCCGTTCCCCAGGACCACCAGGCGTGGCAGGTGTCCCATTGCCATTTGCCCCCATCCCGCTCAGGAGGAGACAGAGTGACTTGTGCAGAGCCACGTGGCTGTCAGTTGGTAGGGCCTGAGCCAGGGTTTGGACCTTGTGGGCAGGTGTCTGAGCATTCCAGAGTCCTGTGTGTGGCCGGGGCCCAGTACACAGCAGGTGCTCAGTAACTTCACTGCCCAGGGCAGATGGGGTGTTCACAGTAGTGACGAGAGGCCCGGGGAGCCGACGCTCCCCGCCCAGAGTGGGGGCCGCTGAGCGGTGCGCCTGGTGGCCATTCCACGTCCCGCGCTCGGGGTGGCTGGAGTCCAGGGCGGGCAGGGGCAGGCGTCGGGCCTTTGCCTCTTCTCTGCCTCTCCCACCCACACTGGTCGGGTCAGGCCTAGCACTCCCGTATCCAGCTGTGCCGAGCCGGGAAGATCATCCCAGGAGGGGCGCTGGGCCTCCCCTGCCCTCCCGGCCAATCCTTGCACATGTGGAACGGGCTCCACACAGAGTCCCAGATGGGGACTCAGGGCCCGCCCTCCCTGCCCTGGGAACAGTCCCACGGTGGTCTTCTCGGGGTGTCACCACACACACAGCCTTGCCTGTGGCCAGGCCGCAGGTGCACAGAGACAGGCACAGGGCACTGTGTGCGCAAGTGAGCACGCTGTCACACACACACACGCGCACGCACACAGTCCGCAGGCCCCGGCCTGCCCGCCCGCCCCGGCTGCTAACTAACAGAGGCCCCGGTGCTGTGACCCAGCAGTATGGAGGAGGTGCTGTCCCTGGAGGAGAAAGACCTGAGGGACCGGGAGAGGCGCATGGCCAATAACGCACGGGAGCGGGTGCGCGTGCGGGACATTAACGAGGCCTTCCGGGAGCTGGGGCGCATGTGCCAGATGCACCTCAAGTCGGACAAGGCACAGACCAAACTGCTCATCCTGCAGCAGGCCGTGCAGGTCATCCTGGGCCTGGAGCAGCAGGTGCGAGGTAGGCTTCCAGGCCAGGTGTCCCCCCCCCCCCTCCCGTCCCGGCCCCCCCCCCGCCCCCTCCCTGCGTGTAGGCTCCAGGCGCTCCGTCCACGTGTCAGTGGGAGCACTCGGACCACCGAACAGCAGTCTGCTCTTGATGGCCCCCTGCGCCCACCACCTCCCTAAGGGACCCTCTCCCACATTGCTCTCCCCCTCCCCCCAGAACGTAACCTGAACCCCAAAGCGGCTTGCTTGAAGCGGCGAGAAGAGGAGAAGGTGTCAGGTGTGGTCGGAGACCCCCAGATGGTGCTTTCGGCCGCCCACCCAGGCCTGAGCGAGGCCCACAACCCCGCGGGGCACATGTGAGGAGGGGCGCCGTGTAGGACCAGTGAGCCGGCCCGGTCCCTGCCGCACGCGTGCACGCCTGTGGTCAGCACTGAGCCCGCGCCATCCCGGGGGGGCTCCGAGGGGTGGGGGCTGCCCCTCCCCGGCCTCCAGTCCCCACCCCTGGGCCTCACTGCCTTGACACCTTGGGACTTTCCTGATGGATCCTGAAACTGCAGCCCGGGCCCAAAGGGGCAGTTTTGTTTTGTTTTGTTTGTAAACAAAACCGGAAAGCGAGCAAGATATACACTTTGTCAGAAAAGATGAAAAAATGCCTTAAGTAGAAAACGCGGGAGAGTCCGAACCTACCACTTGCCGGAAGGAGAAGCAAGAGGGCTTGCCTCGCGGAGCCGCCGTGAATCGTGCCTACGCCTGACCTGTGTCTTAAGGAAAATAAAGAACGTTAGTTAGATTTTTTTTAATGTATTAGGAAATTAGCAAGGAGGATGCCTTTGGTCTCTCTTTTTTTTTTAAGCTTTTTTGCATACGTTTTGTAAGCAACAAATTTTTTGTATAAAAGTCTCGTGTCTCTTGCTCTTTCTGCTGCTGTCTCTAGAACTGAGCGTTGCATTTCATGATCAACCAGATTATTAAAAGTTGTATTAAAAAGACCCACTGTAAACCTGAGGTCCCCCCGCTCTGGGAGCTGCTGGTCGCAGGGAGCGATGGCGGATGTTGTCTCCTCGTTGCTCTTTCAGAGGTCGGGTGGCTTCCTGGCTTCGTGTAGCTGGGGCGTGGTGGGCAGGCCTTGCCCTGGCGGGGCTTCTCCTTCCGGGGTCCCTTGCTCCATCCTCTTCCCCTCCCTTGGGAAGGGGGTGGGGGTGTCTGGAGGGAGGCAGTGCCCCTCCCACGTGGGACTGCCGAGGACCCCAGGCACTTCCCGACGGCCCTCGCACCCCACGAGCTGCACGTCTCCCCAAGTCGGGTTTTGTTGGGACTGACCTTTCTGGGCACAGGGACCATACCACAGGAGCATGATGTTGGGGGGCCTCCCCAGACACCCCGTCCTTCATTCCTTTGACCTGCGGACCTGGGCCTGTTCTCTGATCTCTGGCAGAGGGCCTGCAGACGACTCAGGGCCAGCACAGCAACCCCCACCCCAAGTTCCTCTGCCCCAAACCCGGAAGCCCCCAGGCTTTGCACCTCCTCATCTACAAAAGCAGGAGGGTGGGCCACATCCCAAGCGCAGCTCCTAGGCCTCCCCAGGTCCCCCGTCTGGTCTCATGTCGCCAGGCGGGACCAACCCCACGCAGGACTGCCCCAGGCTTAAACTGAAGGTCCCTGCAGGCCCAGGGTCACCAGAGGACAGGTGTCCCCCAGCTGTGGGGTCAGGCCTGCTGGGCTGGGCTCCTTCGCTCCGTAACACAACCCCTACCCCCGCACACACACAGGCCTCAGGGACCCTAGGTGGCCGCATTCACTCCCGCACGCCAGCTGGCCTGACGTCCACCCGGGGCCTCCCCACCTTCCGCAGCAGTGGGCTGCCTGCGGCCCTCCAACCCCGTGACTGGCTCTCCCCCAGGCCAGGGAGCGGGGCACCGCAAGGGAAGCGCCAGGCGGGAACTGCGAGCTGCCTCCCAGGCCCCGAGGTCACCTGGGTCCTCCCCTTGGGCCTGCTGCCACCCCCCCCCCCAGACCGGTCAGCGGGCAGTGAGGAGCCAGTGGCTGGCGAGGGGCTCCCTGGTGACTGCCCCGGTCTGTGTGGGTCTGGTGGGTCCTGCCTCTGTGTCCCTCTCACTCGGCTTCTGGTCTTACACGGAGCCTCTGCCCCCCGCCCCCCACCCCCAGCTACTACGCCCGTAAGTGGCCCTGGGGGCCGGGAGGAGCCAGTAGTATGGGAAAACTGTGCCAAGTGCCTCAAGGTAACAGGTTTTCAAACAAAACTTTTAAGAAAAAAAATTTCACACAAGTGTCAACGCGGCGGGCTGGATTCTTCGGGATGTTTTAAGGGAGCCTCTCCAGAGGGGACCTGGAGACCTGTGTATCATGGCACCGTAGCATAAAGGTGACATCGTATGGCCACACGCTGTCCCCTGCACCTTTCAGCTGCGGTGTGCTTCCAGGCGGGAAGGGGCTGCCACGGCAGGTAGGGGGCACGGGGTTCTGCAGCACACGCAGGCGCAGAGGCCTTGGCCCTGGGTCTGAGTCTCTGGGGGCAGCGGCCACGGAGTCCACACTCAGGGATGGGGCCTCAAACCACCGAGATTTATTCTCTCTCGTTCCGGGGCCAGGCGTCCCAGATCCAAGTGTGGCGGGGCCGCGCACCCTCCGCAGGCTCCAGGGCACGGTCCCTCCTGCCTCTCCCAGCTCCCGAGGCCCCAGGCGTCCCTCGGCGTGCGGTCACATCGCCCCAGTGCCTGCCTCGGTGGCACGTGGCTGCGTCCCTGTGCGTCTGCGTCCAGATTTCCCCCTTCCGAGGACACCAATCGCTGCAGCACGGCCTCCCCCCTCCTGTACGGCCTCATCTGAACTGACTGTACTTGCGAAGGTCCTGTATCCAAATAAGGTCCCATTCACAGGTCCCGGGGGGCAGGACTTGAGCGTCTCTTTGGGGGACAGACACAACGGTGGTTTGACTGGGCCCACGGCGAGCAAAGCCAGCAGTCACAGAGTGACAGGGAGGGGCCCATGGTGATTCCACGTTCTAGAACCAAAGCGCCTCGGGTCAGGCGGGGAACCCGCACTTGTACTAAGGGGTCCTGGGGGTCTGGACATGGGACCGGCTCACGGGGGAAAGCCACTCCCTGAGAGGCTGCCTGTTAATTTTTAGTTAATAATATGCCAAAGCCCACGGAATTATGCACATTAAGTGTGTAAATGGGATGGTGTGTGAATGCCATCAAAAAAGGTGTTTATGGGCGCCTGGGTGGCTCAGTCAGTTACCCAACTGCTTCAGCTCCTGATCCCAGGGTCCCAGGATCGGGCCCCGAGTCGGGCTCCCTGCTCAGCGGGGAGTCTGCTGCTCCCTCTGACCCTCCCCCCCTCGTGCTCGCTCTCTCTCATTCTCTCTCAAATAAATAAAATCTTTAAAGGTGTTCATTTTTTAATTTTTTTAAGATTTTATTTTTAACTCATCTCCACATCCAACACAGGGCTCGAACTCATAACCCCGAGATCGAGAGTCCCATGCTCTTCCCAATGGGCCAGTTGGTAGCCTCGCAAAAAAAGGTGTTTAAAAATAGATTACAACGGTGCTAAAATCTCCCTTCAGTGAGGCATCCCCTCCCTATCCCAGCAAGGATCCGCTCTGTGGAAATTTCTGGAAGGAGCATCTCCTTGGCCCTGCTCAGGGAACTGCAGGGGCAGGGACCGGATGGAAACTCGGTGCAAAGGGTGTGCCCACGTCTTGGCGGCAGCGATGGTGTCCTGAGCATATTCGAAGGGTGCAGGTCACTGTGTGCTTGTCACAGACCTTCTGCCGGCCCCCAGCCAGCCCTCTGAGCCCTCCTGCTCGGGCCTGCCACGAACCCCACGCGGCCCTGCCACCCCCGGCCAGGGCAGACAGCGACAGCCCCGCGGTGCTGCGGTGCGACGGGGGGGGGGGGGGGGGCCTCTGAAAGAGCAAGCCCACATCCAACCCTGCAACCGGGGATCCGGGCCTTACTCAGGAAGGGGGCCTTTGCAGGTGTAATTCCAGATCCTGAGATGAGCTCATCCTGAAGTAGGAGGGGCCCCAAATCAATGACAAGCATCCTGATAAGAGAGAGGAGATGCCATGCGACAAAGGCGGAGCTGGGAGGGACAGCGGGAGCGCAGCCCTGTGACACTCGCATGGGGGGCTTGCGGCCTTCACGGTGGGGACAGCGTGAAACCCTGTTGTTTCAAGCCACCCAGCGTGCAGCTGTCACCGTGACCATGGGGAACAGGGAGCGTGTGTGTCCTTCCTAAAGCGGTAAAACGCCCCAGTACAGCAGGAACCCCACGCCTCACTGGCAGGAACATGAACAGGTGCAACTCCTCCAGAACAGTTTGGCTGGCGGACCCCTGGGCGCCTGACACCGACCTCACCTTCTATAGCAGGTACACCTCCGTTTAAAAAAAAAGCTGGGTAGTTTTGTCCACGGTTCAACACAGGCTCCCCGCTGTGAGCCAGCTGGCCACCCAGAATCCTCTCCGGAGGGATGAAGACACACGTCCACGCAAAGACCTGGGCAGGGCTATTCATGGGCCACAGCTGTGATCGCCGAAACCTGGAAACAACCCGAATGCCCTCCAGCAGGCGAGCGGGTCAGCACACAGGTCTGCCCCTCTGTGGAAGGAAGGCACCAGGGACTCTCAGAATTAACTGTGCTGCATGGGAACAGCCAGACACCAAGGAGAACACACTGTATGCCTCCCTGTATAGAAAAGTCTAATAATGCAGGTGGACCGACCGGAGACAGCAGATGAGTGCTTGCGGGGGCCAGGAGGGGGTGGGCGAGGGTCCAGAGGGGCAGGAGGAAACGCCAGTGGGCACCCCGGCTGTCCCAGTGGCAGTTCCATGGGCACACACATGTCCAAAGACCAAGCTGTACGTGTTCAGTACATGCCTCTGCTCCATTTCCACAGGAGGCCCAGGAGAACCAGCCTCAGGGTATCTTCCACCATTATCAGGAAAGAGGTGCCATCTTCCTTCGAGGGCTGCTGGAATGCTGACCTAGAGTTTCCACATGCCACTGCTCAGAGAGAGCTCACCAGAGAGCAAGGACAACAAAGGCAAGAAGAGCTGAGAGATGCAGAGAGAGATTCGTGATAATATTGCTAGGTTCCTAGATCCAGCCGTGCCTGAAGCCATCCAACATGCCACATAACTTCTTTTCTCTTGGGGGCACCTGGGTGGCTCAGCCGTTAAGCGTCTGCCTTCGGCTCAGGTCATGATCCCAGGGTCCTGGGATCGAGCCCCACATCGGGCTTCCTGCTCGGCGGGAAGCCTGTTTCTCCCTCTCCCGCTCCCCCTGCTTGTGTTCCCTCTCTCACTGTGTCTCTCTCTGTCAAATAAATAAATAAAATCTTAAAACAAAACAAAAACTTCTTTTCTCTTAAACTGGTTTTCGTATTTTATCACTGCAAAGGAAAACATTCTGCCTTATGAGCTGAAATACATTAAGCAGAAGGAGCAACGAGGCAGGGCATTAGGAACTGCTTGGATCCAGGACCTGCAGCCTGCAGGCCTCTATGACCATCTCCACTCATTTTTTTTTTTTTTAAGATTTTATTTATTGACTTGAGACAGAGAGAGATAGAAAGAATGAGCGGGGGGAGGGGCAGAGGAAGAGGGAGAGAGAATCCCAAGCCGACTCCGCGCTGAGTGCAGAGCCCAACCTGGGGCTCATCTCACTACCCTGAGATCACGACCTGAGCAGAAACCCAGAGTCCGATGCTTAACTGACTGACAAGCAGCTCTGGTGCCCCGACCGTGGGCTCTGACTGTCGGTGCCGGGACCCACCCGCGGTGAGTGCCCGGGGCCAGGTCAGCACCTGCAGCCCCTCCTCCCCCCACCCCCGGGAACTGCCACCCTGCAGGAAACGGAGGCGCAGATGCCAGGAGGCGAGCAAGACGGGGCAGCGGCCGGGGCTTACCTCCGAGGCTTACCTCCGGGCCTGCACCCGATGCTGGGGCCCCAGAGGCAGTGACGGCGGCAGGCGAGGCTCCGCCCGCCCCGGCGGTCCGTCCACTAGCGGAACCGGGCCCTCCGCGTTGGCTCCAGGAGCCAGGCCTCCGAGCGACGGCTCCCGGGGAGCACACGGAGGCGGGGAAGCACGGCCAGCGGCCCCAGAGGCGGCTTCCGATCGCACCCTTCCCTCCGTGCGACTCCGGCCGAGTTCCTTCCCCGCCGGGCCTCAGTTTCCCTAACTGCAAATACAGCCTTGGCTTGTGGTAAAGACCCAAAATCACCAGCCAAGTGTCGGGGGTTGTGCTCAGCTGCCGCAGGCTGCGCCGCTGGGGGCCACCCTGGCCGCCGGCGAGGGGACATCACCCGCGTCGCGGGGCCTCGCGCTCAGAAGAGCCCCCCCGCCCCCCAAGACATGCCCACTCTCGGGCGCATCTAACGACTTCCGACCCTCCCCGGAAATGACTGCAAGGTTTTCCGGGTCTGCGCGCGCAACAACCGCTGCCGCCCGTCGCCAAACGGGCAGCTCGCTCGGGGCGGGGGCCTCCCCGTGCGCCTGCGCGCTGCCGCCGCCGCGCCTGCGTAGTGTGGCCGGGAGGCCCCCGGGGTCACCCTGAGCTGGGGACCGCGCCGCGATGCTGAGCAGGTTTCTGGGCCCGCGGTACCGTGAGCTGGCCAAAAACTGGTGAGCATGTGCTCCCGGCCCCCGCCGTCCGCAGTCGGCACCCGTTGTGCTACCGGGTCCCAGATGGGACGGGCGCAGAGCGGCGGGTCCGGCGCGCACTTACGAGCCAGCTCCTCTCCGCTACCTGGACGGACTGACTCGGCCGCCGTCTGTCTGTCCAGCGCCTTCGGCTCTGGCTCCCCGGGGCCGACCAGGACGGCGGGGAAGGCTCCTGGGACGTTACTGACCCTCGGAGCCGGGGTGCCCGCCGAGGCGCCAGGTGGGGTGGCGGGGGCCGCGGCTGTCACTGGGGAGACAGGCGGGGGGCGTGGTGGTGGTTCGTCGTCTGTGGAAGTGGCGATGGCAGCCCTCCCGGTCCAGCGTCCCAGGCACGTGGCTGACCCCGACCGTGATCGGGGTCCGTATATCGCCGGCCATCGGCCCTCCAGTGGTCAGCCGTGGCTGCAGGACAGGTGGCCCCGCACAGCTTCAAACCACAAACACGTATTCCCTCGCAGTTTGTGTGGGTCAGGAGCGCGGGCACACCCGAGCTGGGCCCACCACACCGGCTTAGGAGGCTGCAGTCTCCTCCAAAGGCTCTTTTGAGGGGGGGTCTTTCCAAGAGCAAGTATGTGATCGTTGGCGGACCCCCTGTAGGGCAGCTCAGGTGGCAGCCGGCTTCCCGCAGAGTAGGAGCAAGCCAGAGCACCTGTGCTGGAAGCTTGTGCTCCTAAGGTCACCTGTGCGAGTCTCACTCATTAGAGACCAGAGACTGGGTCCTGCTCACACTCCGAGGGAGGAGGTGCACCGGGCGTGAGCATCAGGGGGAATTGTTGGAGCCACTGTGGATTCTAACCAATCACAGGACATAAGTGAGGGGTGGTCGTCCTGGGTGAAAGCGAGACTCAGCTCCGTTATGCACTATGCAGCTGTGTGTCATTGGGGAGGTGGCCTGCCCTTCCTGTGCTGTGTGCTCCTATAAGACCCAGACCCTGACACCTCCCTCAGTCCCACAGCTGTCCCTGGTCAGCTGTAAACTGCATAGTTGGGGCCTGCATGCAGACATTACCTGTTGTGAATGGGTGCTTATGAGCTTGGGTTGTTTAAATTTTCTTTTGAGCAAATTCCTCAAAAAAAAAAAAAAAAACCTCCAGAAGATTCTCATGTGAAAGCAGGTGAGAGTGAAGTTGCCTCAGGGTCTCCTGCTTTGTGCCCAAACACTGGGCAGGAGGGGTGGGTGTGTGGTGGGCGCTGCATAAATGGAAGCTTGGCGTGGGAGGGAGAGAGACCCAGAGATGCAGCTGGAAGGGTGACCCCTGAGCAGGACCTGACCCCTGCTGTTCTTTGGCAGGATGCCCACAGCAGGCATGTGGGGCGCCGTGGGCACTGTGGGGCTGGTGTGGGCCACGGACTGGCGGCTGATTCTGGACTGGGTGCCCTACATCAACGGCAAGTTTAAGAAGGACGATTAAACTGACTCTCCTCGGACCCCTCTGGTAAGTTTTGGCGGCTGTTAGCAGGTGAATCCTATGATGCCCACATGGCTGAGGGCTGGGGCTTCCATGAGGCTGGTTCTCCACGCCCCCAGAGCTAGGGTGGTAGGTCTGGGAGGCTCACTTGGACTATTCACCTGGGAGAATCTTGCCTGTCAACACAAAGCTGCCAACCAGCATCCCTGGTTTGTGGGCCTGGGGAATGGGCAGTGGCCCAGGGCGCTCCATCCTGGAGGCCGACTGCACCCCACATCCCAATCTGCCCAGGCCTGGGTGTGACAGAGGGGTGCCCCATTTTATAAATGGGGAAAGTGGAAGCTGACCCACAGCTGCTGGCCTCCCAGGGGTTGCTGCGTGAGCCGTAACGACCCCTTGGACTCTTCCATTTGTCTCTTGACGTGACTGTCCACTGCGCCGACCACGATAGGCCAGAGTGCACGTGCCTCTTGCATTTCCATTCTACAGATGGGCCCCAGGCCATGACGCAGCTAAGCAGTCTAGCTGGACTTGATTTTGGAGCCTGGCTGCAGTGTGTGTAGCTCCTCATCACTTAGCTCCTCCCTCTTACAAGAACGGGAGCCAGGAGCCTTGTGCTCACCCTGCCTTGTCTCCCATCCAGGTGTCTGCTGATGCTGTCTCCCGTGGGAGCCCCTGCAGTGCCTGGACCAGCCCCCACCCTCAGGATGGGCCTCAAGGAAAGGACAGCATGACTGAGGACTCTGTTTCTGAGAATAGCTTTTATGTTTGAATGCACACAGCATTAAACCTTGCTCTGAAACCTGCCGCGCCTGAACATGGTCATGCTAGGGACTTGGTTATCTTGACTGCAGCCGTGGTGGTGTGAGTGACCCAGGGGTCCGTGGCTGTGGCAGAAATTGATCACTTACGGTGTTTAATGTGTAACACCTGTACAGGGTGTTTATCACCACCTTGAGAAGTCACCTCACAACTTAGGGGTGTCAAACAGCAAATATCCGTTACCTATCGATTTCTGTGGGCGAGAATTTAGGAGTAACTTAGCTGCACGGTCCTGGCTCCGGATCACTCATGAGGATGCAGTCACGGTGTCAGCTGCGGCTGCCTCATGAGAAGGCTGGACTGGGGCGGGAGGAGCCGTTCGTGCGGGCACCCTCGTGGGGCTGCTGGTGGGAGGGAGGCCTCAGCTCCCCACTGCGTGGGCCTCTCCGTGGGGCTGCTGGAGCCGCCTTGCGTCTTTGCGGGTGGAAGCCACATGTCTTATGACCTTCCCCCAGAAGTCTTGCACCATCACTTTCTCCACATTCTGTTAGAAAACACATCCCCACATCCAGCCCACACTCAAGGGAACGAGAACTTGGCTCTGTTTTGAAAGGAAAAACATCAGAAGTTGTAGAAAAGTGAAACCATCACATGAAGGATACAAAAGCGGGCAGGTACACAGGGGTCTGGCACACAAGTTTCCTCCCCCGGCCCCTGCCCGGTTCTTGACAGTTCTAGAAACTGTGTGTGTAAGCATATTTGTGGAAGCAGCTGTTCTGTTAGCCGTAAGGAAACCGCACAGACCTGGGGGCTTATACAACACAACTGAATCTTCTCAGTTCTGGAGGCTGGGAGTTGAGATCAAGGTTCTGACAGGGTTTGCTTCTGGTGAGTTCCTGCATCCTGCCTTCTGGCTGTGTCTTCTTCACCTGGCCTTCCCCCCCGCACACCTGCGGAGGGAGGAGCAGGGCGTGTGCTCTCAGGTGTCCCGGGACACTGATCCTATCAGGGTGGGCCCCACCCCCCTGACCTCTCCTCACCTCCTTCCGTCCTGAGGCGCGGAAGACACATTCGGAACAGATCTCTATCTTGAACACAAGCGGTGGCATTTGTGACACCCCGCTCTGCGCATCATTCTCTTACCCAAGGCATCTTTCCTGGGGCCACAGCACTTTGGGAAGGATCCTCCACTCCGACACGGCTTAACCCAGTTTTCAACCTGGGGCAGCCTCCGGGGCTGTGTGGAGCCATGTGGCCTGAAGTGGAAAGAAACCTGTTTCCCTTAACAAATAAATCTTAAAAAAATACACATTTTTAAAAATTGGTATTTACTTATAAGGATTTTATTTATTTGACACAGAGAACAAGCGGGGGGAGCAGCAGAGGGAGAAGCAGGCTTCCCGTTGAGCAGGGAGCCCGATGCAGGGCTGGATCCCAGGACCCTGGGATCATGACCTCAGCCAAAGGCAGACACTTAACGACTGAGCCGCCCAGGCGTCCCACAAAAATAAAATTTGACATTTTGTCTATCATGGATCTTTTGCATTCATTTTAAATTGTTACAATATTGCATTAAATGCCATTCATCTTGATGACAGGTACCCTGTAAATTTTGTGCCCCAGCAGAGTGCCATGATTGACTCATTAACTCGGGGACTGTTGGCTGGGGACATCTGTGGTTGTCAAGACGGGGGGAGTGCTGGCCTAGAGTGGGCTCAGTGAGGGATGCTGCTCGGTCCCCTACGGTGCCCAGGATGCCCCCAATCACCCATCCCCAAGGTCCACAGTACTGAGGGGGGGAGACCCCGCCACTAAAAGTGGCTCCTCATCACTTGATTTTGTTTTTATTTCTTACCTTGTGTAGATGGGTAGGAGAGGGTGTCTGCTTGGGTGCCGAGGCAGCCAGCCCAGGAAAGGGAGGTCCTAAGTGCCAGCAAACCAGGAGGGGAGCATGATTGCCTGTCTCCCTTCTGGGACTCCCAGCTTCTCTGCTGGCAACTCCCCATCATGTCCACCTGGACCAGCCCCAGGGGACCATCCCAGGGGCTGGGGCCAGGCGATGCCCACAGGCTTGCTGCTATGGAGGCAGCCTTGGCCTGAGGGGGGTCAAATGCCCCGAGAAGCAAGTGGAGGCCGGCACGCTGAATGCCTAAGAATGGTGAGGGGGCACCTAGGGTGCATTTTTTTTTTTTAAGGGTGCATGGTGGTTCTTAAGATCAAATTTTTTTTTTAAAGATTTTATTTATTAATGAGAGACAGACAGAGGGAGGGAGGCAGAGGGAGGGAGGCAGAGGGAGAAGCAGTCTTCCCAAGAGGCAGGGAGCCCGATGCGGGACTCGATCCCAGGATCCTGGGATCATGACCTGAGCCGAAGGCAGACGCTTAACGACTGAGCCACCCAGGCGCCCTCTTAAGGTCAAATCTTATGACCCAACACCATACATCCACCAATGTGGTACTATCAAAAACCAGGAAATAACAAACGTTGGCAAAGATGTGGCGAAACCGGAGCCCTCCCCCAACCCCTTCCTCTTCCCACCAGCGAGAGCTGCTGGCTTCCCCCTCTGAGTCCCTCCCCTCACCTGCCCAGGGCAGGTGCTCAAAAAAGATGACTGAACGAGTGGCTGGAGCTGCGGCCGGTGCCAGAAGGCCGGACCTCCTCCTCATGCACCACTGGCGGGAACGTGAGTAGGGCAGGCGCTGCGGAAAACAGTAGGCGGTTCTTCTAAAAATGAAACATAGAAGGCGCCTGGGTGGCTCTGTCAGTGAAGCGTCTGCCTTCGGCTCAGATTATGATCCTGGGGTCCTGGGATTGAGCCCCGCATCGGGCTCCCTGCTCAGTGGGGCGCCTGCTTCTCCCTCTGCCACTCCCCCTGCTCATGCTCTCTCTCTTGCTCACTCTCAAATAAATAAATAAAATCTTTAAAAAAAAAATTAAACAGGATTACCACGTGACCCAGCAATTGCACTTGGGGTATACACCCAAAGACTTGAAAGCGGGAGCTTGGTCCTCCCCAGGACCTCTGACACAAGAAGGTTAACAATTTTTCCTTTACCTCTGCACGTGGTTTCACTGACTGAAATAAACGTATCTTTGTAACTATAGTTTTTTAAGTTAAATAAAATCATACAAGCTGGAAAAAGACAAGCCCAGTAGTTACCAGCATTTCCCTGCACAGAGGGCAGGGTCCTGAAGCCCTGGGTTCTGGCCTGAACCCTCCAGACAGGAATCTGGTGCCCCAAACCAGCTTCGTATGGTGACCGCTCAGGGTGCCCGCCTCCCCACTGTGCCCTTTGTCTCTGAGACAGCAGGAGGGACATTGTGAGAAGTTGCACTTAACCTGAAGCCATTAAAACAAGTTACACCTGCGCTCCACTTGGTGCTCTTGGGTTGCCCGCCCAGGGCCTGCCTCAGACTTGAGCTGTGAAGACCCCTGCAGGGGAGACCCCTGTGTGCGGACCACCCCTCTGCTTCCCTCGGCGGAGCTTGCCCCCGCCCCCCCACCAGCACCATGCTCCTTAGTCTCCTGGCACCGGCTGCAGCTCTAGCCACTCGGTCATCTTTTCTGGAGCACCTGCCCTGGGCCGACGAGGGGAGGGACCAAGAGGGGAAGCCAGCTGGTCTCTGGCGGGGAGAGGCGTCAAAATCGGGGCGGCACGTTTCTTAGGAAGGTCCTGGACCCCAGGAAGAGAAGGCGGCTGGACTACGGTGGAGCGGGGGGAGGTGGGGGCTGGGGAGCAGCTATTCCTCGATTCCAAGGCGTCGGGAGGGAGGGATTTGGGGCGTGCAGGGCGGTGGTCAACTACAATGCCTGGAGGCTGGGAGACCAGGGGGAGGGAGGGCGGGAGGCGGCGTGATGATGGAGGCCCGGCACTGGGCGGATAACCCGAGATTCGAGCGGGCACCTGACGGCACAGCGCTGGAGAGGACGACGGGGCGGTCCGGCAGATTGCCGCTCGCCGAGCCCAGGGCGCAGGCGCAGGTGCTGGGCGGGCCGGCAGGCGAGCCGCGTGCCGCCACTAGCCACGCCCCCCAGCCGCCCGCTGATTGGGGCCGCCGCCGCAGGGCGGGGCTGGCGCCCACGGGGAGGGGCCCGCGCAGCGCCTGCGCAGCACGGGGCCCCGCGCGCGGGCGGGTGGGCGGAGCGGGCCCCCCGAGCGGGGGCTGGCGAGCGCGGGGAGGGGGCCGAGAGGGCGGCAAAGCCGGCGCGTGCCCGGCTGGGGGCGGAGGGCGGGGGCCCGCGGGCCGGAACAGCCGCGGCAAGTGGCGGCGGCGGCGGCGACGGAGGCAGCTGAGGCGGCGGCGGCGAGCGGGGGTCCGGGCGGCGGCGGCGGCGGCGGCGGCGGCGGGCCGAGGAGCCGGGCGCGATGGAGCGGAAGAGGTGGGAGTGCCCGGCGCTCCCGCAGGGCTGGGAGAGGGAAGAAGTGCCCAGAAGGTCGGGGCTGTCGGCCGGCCACAGGGATGTCTTTTACTATAGGTGAATGAACGTGCCGGCCGGGCAGGGCCCCAACGGGCGCCTCCCAGCGGCCTCTGCGGCGGCCTGGGCGCCTCGACCCGGGCTGCGGCCTGGGCCCCGCGCGTGCGTCGTGCGTGCGTGCGTGCGTGCCGGCGCGCGGCGGCCCCGGGCCAGTGCGCGTGCGTGCCCCTCCCCCTCCCCCGCGGCCGCGTGGGGCGCGGGGCGCGGGGCGCGGGGCGGGCGGTGGCCTTTGTTCCGCGGCCGCGGCGGGCCGGCCGGCGGGGCGAGGGACGCCGGGCGCGGGCCAGACGCCGCTGGGAGGCGGGGGTGGGGGCTGGGCTGTCCCTTGGATTGGCGGAGCGCGCGCTCAGCCCGAGGCGGGGGCGCTCGGGGGTGGGGGGCCGCCCCCTCCGGAGAGCGGCGCTGCGCTGGGTCGCGGCGCCTCCGGGAGCGGGGAGGGGACGCGCGGGACTGTGAGCCCCCCTTCCCCGGGCTCCTGGTCGGTGGAATAAAGAACCAGTGGGCGGCTGGCGGCCCACCCCAGACAGTCGGCCACCTGCTGTCTTCTCTCGCGCTCCTGTGTTCTTTCTGACTGCTGGAAGATGCTTTCGTGTCTGAGCCAGCTCTGATGACTCCCTCCCCCTTGCTTCAGGACCCGGGGGCGCCTTCAGGTCGCTGGGCAGAGTAAAGCGGGATACCCGCCACGTGTTGAATGCGGGCTGGGTTCGTGCGGTCCCCACGGGCCCAGAAGCTGCCCGCGTGAGGCCGAGGCGGGGTGGGAGTGCCGTTCCGTCCACCCAGCACTTGGGTTCCTCCTGCGCCTTTGCCGGCCCCCGTGGGGAAGGAGTAGGGAGGTGGGCTGGGAAGGGCTGGCGGCTGGGACCGTGTGAGGTCAGGCATTGACGTGGTGTGACTACAGCATCTCCCCGGGACTCTGATGCCACTCCTTCGCCAGCTGTTGCCGTTCTGACCTGGGGGTCCGTGAGGAGCTCTCCTTTCATTCCAAGCATGCCTGTGTGTCCGTCTTCCCTCTCAGATCTAAAGTGTGAAGCAGGTCTCCCTGGCTCTCTTGTTAACGACTCTGCAGCACCTGCTGGCGGTGGGGCTGGAGTCAGACCCGGGCCTTCCTCTCCTGGGCGACAGCACCAGCTGGCTCCCCGAGGATCCCATAGTTACAGGAGAGGACATCCGCTCAGAAGCGCGGAGGTCTGTGAGGGCCAGTGATGGGGTGCTGGATTGAGGCTGGTGCAGCTCAGGGAGGGCCTCTCTGACGGGGTAGCACTGAGCTGAGCCTGGGTAGTGGAGCTGGGAGGGGCTGTCCGGGCAGCGGGCATCCTGTGCAGAGGCCCCAGGAGGCTGAGCCAAGGTCAGCAGGGCTGGAGCACCTTGAGAAGAACATTGCTCCACCTCTCGTCCCCACCTCCGTGAGGGCCTCATAGGGCCTCAGCTAAATGGGGCCTTCCTCTGAGGCCCTGGACCTGAGCATGGGGGTCTGGCAATGGGGAAAAGTTCCAGATGGGCTGGACAGATACAATTCTAGGTTTCCCATGACCACTGAGAGGTGGTCTGAGGGGAGGAGGTGGCCGGGAGGGTCCCGTACCATTCCCAGGTCTTTGACTTGGATGACCCACTAGGCAGGTGGGTGTCACCTTCCCTCCCAGTGGGTGGGAGGTTTGGGTTGTGTGATCTGGAATCCATGGTGTTTTCTAGAATGTGGGTCTCTGGCCTCTCCACCTACTGGAGCTCCTGCTGAACCAGGCAGCTGGGCAGGAGCATGGATAGATTTTCCTAATTCTCTCAATGCAGAGGGAAGGTAGGGCATGAGGGCCTTGAGTCCAGCAGACCTGGTGTGGGATCCAAGCCTTGTCCTTAGGAACACATGGGCCTCGATTCCTTGTCCAGAGAGTGGAGGAAGGGAGTGTATTCTTTGCAAGATTGTCACCCCACAAATTGTTACCTGAGGGCTGACACATAAGCCTGCAGCCATGTATTTTCTTTGTGAAAATCATCTCACTGTGACATTTTTTGTCAGGCAGGAGGTTGAGGGTGTGCGGGAAGTTAGTACCCTGACCTCGGGGATAATTCTTTGGAGGGGTATGGAGTAGGGAGGACTTCTCCAGAAGATCTCATTTTAGAGGTAGAAATGTACTCAGGAAAAGCAGGAGGGACTTAGCGTAGCAGCCCCCTTCCTTGGGGCAGCCGGCTGAGGTTGTATCTTGCTTGCTGTTGGGGCGTCACGGGTTTTGGGCCTCACTCTCGTCGGTGCCCGCTCACTGGTTCTGGCGACCCTCACAGCAGCCCTTTCTGCAGACGGGAAGCCAGGCTGCACTCAGTCCTGCATCCATCTCCTGGCCTGGGCATCAAGGCTAGGTGGCAGCTCCTCACCCCACAACAAGCCACTTGACGGGCCAGCCGCAGCCCTCCGAACCCACGCTTCTAGCTCCTGGTTTGTGCCCTCTAGCTTAGGCCCTGCTTCCAGAAAGGCCATAGTGCACTTTTATATAAATCCAGGATTGTTGTTTTCAATAAACCATCAGGGACATTTTCCTGTGTCGATGCTGCAGAACCTTTTTTAAAAGTTGGGATACAGTCTGCATTCTGTCAGAAATGTGTACTGTTGAGTAGTTCTTTAGTACATTCACAAAGTTGTGCAGCCATCACAATAATCTAGTTCCAGAACATTCCATCACCCCAAAATGAGCTCTTTGTCCATTAGCATCACCTCTCAATCTCTCCCCCAGCCCCTGGGATCTACTATCGCATCTTTTTCTTTTTCTTTTTTTTTTTAACAGTTTTATTGGGATTACGATTCATATACGTACAGTTCACCCATTTGAAGTGTATAATTGAATACTTTGTAGCATATTCACAGACAGGTGAATCCTCCACATTTCCCTCACCCCAAAAGAGCCCCAGGCCCTTAATCATCAGTGCCTTGTACCCCCAACCACTTACCTGTGCTTCGTGTCTATTTGCTGTTCTCATGTAGCATGGCGGGGGCAGGGGGGACTGGAGGCAGAGAAAGGCTGGCAAGTTTGATGGGGTTCTCTCCTTCCTCTGTGGCCTTATCTGACCCCGGTTCCTTCCTGCTGTCCTGGGCATGTAGGCTCAGTGTGCGCATGAGCCAGCACAGCATGATGGAAAAGTGCATCATCCTGAAGGCAAGAGTCAGGGGCTCTGTGTGCTGGGCTCCTGGTCCTAGCAGACGCAGCCAGGCCCAGGGGAATCGCCTGGCGTCCAGCCATGGCCCTGCTTGTCCAGAGGTCCTGGTGGGGATTCCAGAGGGGAGTGCAGCTGGCCACCGTGTGGGTCCTGACGTTGGAGGGGAGGGGGTTTCCTTCTGGCTGTCCCGGCTTCTATGTTGCCTTCTGTGGTCCCTAGAGGGGCTTGCGGGGGCGGACATGCAGTTGCTGAATTAGAGGCTCATCCTAGAGATTTGTCAGGGGAGATCAACAAAATCAAGCACTTCTCAATCTCAGACTGATGAGCTGTTACTGAGAGCGACTGCTTGTTGAGTTGGGAGCAGTGACGTGTTTGGAGAGGCCCCGGGCCTGCTGGGCGCCACACAAGTGCTTTTTCTAACAGCCTGATGGAGATGCAGTCCACATACCGCACAGTTTAGCCACTTAAAGTGTGCAAGTGTGTAGTTTAGTGTATCACAGAGTCGTGCAACTGTCACCAGGGCCAATTTTAAAACATTCCATCAACACAAGAAGAAGCCCCGTCTCTCTCAGTGTCACTCTCCCTCTCCCAGCCCCCATGAGCCCCCTTCCCGTCCATGGATGAGCCTCTTCTGGACGTGCCACCCACGTGGATTCACACCCCGTGTGGCCTTCTGTGTCTGGTTCTGTCCCTGAGCGTCGTGGGCTCGGGGTCCGTCCCCGGGGCTGTGCGTGTGGGCGCCTCCCTCCTGTTCGCAGCCAAGGGATGTTTGTTCGCTCACCACCTGATGGCCGAGTGACACTCCCGTGCGTGAGGGACACGCTGTGTGTATCTGTCCCCCCACTGGTGGACACTTGGGCTCTTTTCACCTCTTGCTCTCGATGAGCCGCTGCTCTGAACACCAGGGTATAGTTTTGCATGAACACGTTCGTTCTCTCGGGTAGATGGGAGTGGGGGGTTGCTGATCAGTACAAAGTGGCTGCAGCAGTTGGCGTTCCTGGGCCTGTGCTACTCGTTTGTTGTGCAGTCTCCCTGTGGGTCGGCATCGTTAGTCTCCTAGAGAGGTGGGTGGCCTGCGCTGTCCACAGGTGAGCAGGATCACGGAGCTTCACGGCTTCCAAACACCTGGTTTTGGATTTCCCAACAGGTCACACCTGAGCAGCTATTTGGGGTCCTGGCCCTGAATCTTAACGAAATGTTACCGTCCGCCCCCGCCACGATACCCTAGTCCCCAACATGGTACCCACGAGGAGACTGTTAGGGGTTGTCCCTGAAATACCTGTTATCTTGGAGTCCTTTCTCAAGAACACAGCCTAACTGTGTTTCTGAAACGTTCTGATATGTCAGCTGGGCTCCTCGAGCTGGGCCCCAGCCTTCTGCATCAGGGTGTTGATCCCTGCTCTCAGCAGACCCTGGGGTCTGCTTGGGGGCTCTAGTTGGGAGGCGGCACTGGGGAGAGGGCAAGGGTTGGCCCAGCACACCCTGCCCGCCGCTGACCCGCTCTCTGTCCACAGCCCCAGTGGGAAGAAGTTCCGGAGCAAACCCCAGCTGGCACGGTACCTGGGGGGTTCCATGGACCTGAGCACCTTTGACTTCCGGACGGGCAAGATGCTGATGAGCAAGATGAACAAGAGCCGGCAGAGGGTCCGCTATGACTCGTCCAACCAGGTCAAGGTAAGCTCCAGGCCTCTGGGGGCGCCTGGCTGGCTCTGTCGGTGGAGCATGCGATCCTTGATCTTGGGGTCATGAGTTCAAGGCCCGTGTTGGGCATACAGGTTACTTTTAAAAAGTCCAAAAGTTAAGAGGCACCTGGGTGGCTCAGTAGGTTGTGTTCAACTGTTGGTTTCAGCTCAGGTCATGATCTCCAGGTCCTGGGATCAAGCCCCGTGTCGGGCTCCCAGCTCAGCGGGGTGTCTGCTTCTCCTCCTGCCTCTGACCTTCCCTCCTGCTGTCACTCACGTGTGCTCTTTCTCTTTCAAATGAATATATTAAAAAACTTTTTTTTAAAGATTTTATTTCTTTATTGGAGAGAAAGCATGAGCGGGGTCGGGGGGAAGACAGAGGGAGAAGCAGGCTTCCCGTCGAGCAGGGAGCCCGATGTGGGGCTCAATCCCAGGACCCTGAGATCATGACCTGAGCCGAAGGCAGACGCTCAACCCAGTGAGCCACCCAGGCGCCCCTAAATAAAAAATCTTAAAAAAAAAAAATCTTGGGGCGCCTGGGTGGCTCAGTCATTAGGCGTCTGCCTTCGGCTCAGGTCATGGTCCCAGGGTCCTGGGATCGAGCCCCACGTCGGACTCCTTGCTCAGCGGGGAGCCTGCTTCTCCCTCTCCCACTTCCTCTGCTTGTGTTCCCTCTCTCGCTGTCAAATAAATAAAATCTTGAAAAATGAAAATTAAAAAAAATAAAAAAACAAAAAAACCCCGCTTTTGGGTGGAGAGAGAGAAGTTTTCACGATTCAGTTTATTTGCCGTGGTATTCAAATCGTAACTATCTGTTGAGGGAAACTTGGGAGCTACAGAAAAGCAAAAAGAAGAAAAGAAAGCATTTTCACTCAGTCCCTGGGAGAGGCCACAGGCGTGTGGCCCCCGGCTGTCCCCAGTGTGCCTGTCACTCTCTCCCCAAACCTGGCAGTGCGGGGGTCGCTGCAGGGGCCTGGAAGGCAGCCGGTCTTCAACAGCTGATGGGACGCCCACGGGGGCCCGGTGACACTGTGCGTCCACCAGTCTCTGACGAGTGGAGGGGGGTGCTTTGGTCCTGGCTGCAGGACAGCCCCAGCAGAGCCCCACCACGGCCCCACCGTGGGCAGCAAATAGGCAGGGCCTGGGCTTGCCATCGCCTCCAGCTCTGGGGGTGCCTCGGCGTAAGCTGGTGACTGAGGGACACGGGGTCTGTTCCCCAAAGCCCACGGGGAGGGTTTCCTCCGCTGCCTGGGAGAGCCCACTGTGGACCTTGGGGCTGCGGTACCAGCTTGTGTGTGTCTGCAGGGCAAGCCCGACCTGAACACGGCCCTCCCCGTCAGGCAGACGGCATCCATCTTCAAGCAGCCAGTGACCAAGATCACCAACCACCCCAGCAACAAGGTGAAGAGTGACCCCCAGAAGGCCGTGGAGCAACCTCGGCAGGTGAGCCCGCGTGCCCCACACACATCCCCGGGCGAGGTCGTGGTGGGCATAGGGTGCGGGTCACACACATGCTGCCTTGTGACCTACCTCTCAAGAGCCAAGAGTCCCCTGTGCTTTTGAGCATGTGTGCAAATGCCCAGGAGATAGCTGGCGTGCAGGCACTGGCTGGAGCAGGAGGCTACGGGGCCGCTCCCAGGGAGGCCCCGTGTCATTTCCATCCCCCTCGGTGGCATTGGGGTCGTCGCCATCTAAGTAACTGCTCAGACCTGTGCGTCTGCCCCCACGCTTAGGACGTGCCTCTCTGCACACTGTCCCCAGAGTCCTGTGGCGCTGTCACTGGGTGTGAGCCCCTTGCACCTGCAGGGCCTGCCCTGGTGCTAGGCCACGGTGGGGCCTCTGGGGGCCTCGTAGCTCAGCCCTGCTGGACGGTGGAGTTCTGCACTGAAGTTTCAGCGTGAAGGGGGCTTCACCTCCCCAGGGTTGTGCCATGTTTTGGGAACCATAGACCGTGAGCGCTGACGGCAAGGCTGAGGCCCCGGGTTGGGGTTTCTCTGGCCTGGAGGCCAGGCCTGGCGGGAAATCCCACACGTTCTACCGCAGCCTCGTTCCCAAGCAGGTAGTTCTAGCACATGGGGGTCAGAGGTCGTGCTGAGACTGCTGTCCCGCATGTGGATGGGCCCCAGCTGTCGTCGGGACTGGCCAGGGCTGCCTGTTGTGGGGGCACGTCCGTCAGCCTCATGTCTGTGTGTCTGGTGGCAGCTTTTCTGGGAGAAGAAGCTGAGTGGCCTCAATGCCTTTGACATCGCCGAGGAGCTCGTGAAGACCATGGACCTGCCCAAAGGCCTGCAAGGTAGGCCCGGGATAGAGGGGGACCAGGCACGAGGAAGCCAGCGGTCTCTGCAGCGTGGTGAAGGACCGTAAATAGCACGCCCTGGGCCGAGCGCCGCCCTCCTGCTGGGCTGGGAGGAAGGACAGGTGTCTGGCAGGGGCAGGGCTCCCCCCGTGCAGCCTGGACCAGCCAGGGCCCTGGTCCCCCAATCCTGGAGGCCACCCCACCTGTGCTGCGGCTCCCGAGCTGTGTCGGGGGCCCTGCAAAGACTCACCTGTGTGTGGTTTTGCTCCCACGCCGTGAAAAGGCCACCGCACTGTGACGGACGGGCACGGCTCCTGCTTTTGTCAAGGGCCTGAGTGCCTATAGCGGGGAGTTGGGATCGAGACCCGAGGCTCGGGGGGAGGCCTCAGGTGCCCAGTGGTGACCACCCTCCTGTCCCTGGTAGGCGTGGGGCCTGGCTGCACAGATGAGACCCTGTTGTCGGCCATCGCCAGCGCCCTGCACACCAGCACCATGCCCATCACCGGGCAGCTCTCGGCCGCCGTGGAGAAGAATCCTGGGGTGTGGCTCAACACAGCCCAGCCCCTCTGCAAGGCCTTCATGGTGACCGATGAGGACATCAGGTACTGCCCTGCATGCCACCCCCCCATACCAGTGCCCATGGCTGGCGCGCCCGGCCGGCGCGTCCCACTTCCTTGCTGACGCTCTCTGGGGCTCGGGGGCTCGAAGCAAATGCGCCACAGCGAGGGCGGGTTTGAAAAGAATCGGTAGAAGCTTTCCCACGAGTCTCGGTTCAGGGCAGGCCAGGGGCGAGGCGACCTGTGGCGGGGGTGGGAAGCGTCCTAGCTCTGTACATATGTTGTTGGGAAGGGAAAGTGGCTCTTCACCTACACGCACAGGCTCACAGTGTGGCCTGCCCATTCTTGGGCACATGAGGCCTTGCACGTGCCTGGCCGGGGGCGGGGGGGGCTCTAGAGAGTGGCATGGGACGGGGTGGCGCCAAGCATGCCACAGGCCCCGAAGGCCAGCCCGAGTTGAGGCTGGACGCTGTGGCCAGTGGGCCCCGGAAGGGTTTCCCAGCTGAGCCAGAGAGCAGGTGCAGGGGGCCTCGGGGCAAGAGGCATCCCCGACCTGGAGTCCTCTGGGAAGGCATCCTGGTGAGGAGATAGTTGAAGCTGGCAGCAGGACAGAAAACATCCAGAAGCTCTGGACGAGTGGAACCTGTGTTTTCTCGACTGAAGCGTCAACGCACCGCTTAGGTCAGAACGAGTTAGGGGGCTCTGTGGACCCCACACAGAGAAGGGGCTGGAAACACAGCAGCCATGGCCAGGACTGGCTTACAGGTGGGGTCGTAGGTGGGCAGGCTTCCTGTGTCGGGCCTGGGGCTTGGAAGCCGTGCGGGTACAGGAGAGAGTCCCATGCCCTGCACACGGAAGACGCAGAATCGCCCACAGGCCTGCAGAGGAGCTCGTCTCCAGGGAGTTGGAAGTATAAGAAAAGAACACAACCGCCTGGAAAGACTAGCAGATTTTTAAAGCCAAGCAGAGCTTCTAGAAACAGGAAAAGCCACAGAAAGGAGAACCTCGTGTTATGGGTTAGGTGGTAGATTTGGTCCGGGGTCGGTGCCGGGGGGGGCGTTGCCAAAAGATGGGGCTGGCATTTGCCAGGCCTGGGGACAGACACAGTGTTGGTTCGTGTTCCCGTTGTGGTGAGGGTCTTGGCCTCAGGGAGGGAAGGCTGGTGGCTTTCTGGATGGTCGTAACAGAAGGTCAAAGGCCCCAGAAGGCCGTCCTCCGCCTGGCGCTCTCCAGCAGAATCCCCTCGCCCGGCCGGCGGCTGACCCTGGCTGTGGCCGCGGTGACCGAGCACCGTTGTCCATCTCTGCACACTGTGCTCAAGTGACAGGAAAGGGAGTCGGGGGCGCGCGCTGGGCCCCGGCAGGTGCTCGCTGACGCGGCGGTGCCGGGAGGGGCGGTGCCGGGAGGGGCGGCACGGAGGGCAGCGGGGCCCGCCCCAGCATCGGCCCGGCCCGGGTGGAGTGCCGGGCCCTGTGCGCGGGCAGCTGCGGGGACAGGAGCGCGGGCGGAGGGCCCCTCCCAGCAGCCGTGCGCCCGGCCAGCGCAGCCCGTGCACCCCCAGGAGGCAGGAGGAGCTGGTGCAGCAGGTGCGCAAGCGGCTGGAGGAGGCGCTGATGGCCGACATGCTGGCCCACGTCGAGGAGCTGGCCCGGGACGGCGAGGCGCCGCTGGACAAGCCCAGCGCCGACGGGGACGAGGCTGGGGACGAGGACGGGGACGAGGACGAGCCGGACCAGGGGGCGGAGCACGTCTAGAAGCAGGTGCCGGCCTGCCGGCTGGGTCCCAGGCCACCTGGCGCTCGGACGGCGACCGTGGGGACGAGGGCCGCTCCCGTCAGGGCGCTGATGGCGCTCTCTCCCTGTCTTTCCAGAGGCCGCGTGGAGCCCTGCCGCGGGGAGCCCCCCGCGGACTCTGCCGTCTCCACGCTCGGACCACGCTCTGTGGCCCGGCCCCGGACGATGGCTGCCCCTCCTGGGCCCTCCCAGGCGTGTCCCCTCCCCTGGGCCCACGGGGGCACGGCTGGAGGGCAGCCCCTGCCCGACGGGCCCCCCGCGTGGGCTCTTCTCTGAAGGGCCTGGGTCCGGAAGTGTCGTCCGCCGGCCCCCGGGCCCGCCTGCAGGAGGCCCCCCTCGGCGCCTTCTGTCCACCTGGACTTGGGGCTGGCCTCGCCCCCACGGCCGCATCACACAGGACGGCCGCCACCGGGGGCCCGCGAGGGTCCCCAGGGGGCTGGAGAAGCAGTTTTCGGAACAGTCCCGCCTCCTGATCCCCGCGTGTGAGGGACGCCGTTCCGGGGTCCGCACATCAGCCCTCCAAGGAGGGGGGGTGCCCACCGGCGGGCGAAGCCGCCACGGCTCGGAGCTCATCTGGAGGCAAACGGCGCAACCCAGACGTTGTCCTTCAATAAATCCGTGACACAAACGAGGCTGGACGTCCACATAACTGCTTAGCCTTTGTGTTTGCTGCACGTGGATGCGGACTCTAGCCTTTGTGTTGGGAAACCTCACTGTCCACAGCGCAGCCGACCCGGCCTGAGGGTCAGCCAGCCACCGGCGATGGCGAACTGCTTGCGGCCGACTCGCCAGGCCGGGGCTCCAAGGCAGCTGGGCCGTCGACTGGCCTCCCTTCCCCTCCCTGTGTAGCGGGGACGGGGGTGCCCAGCACTCAGGGCCAGAGCTGGTCCTGGGCCGCGGCTCCTCCGAGGTCCCATCCTGGGGTGCGTTCTGTGGCCCGGCGTTTCCAAGCACCTGGTGCCCAGAGCAGCGGCATCTGGGCAGCTCCGGGCGCAGGGGGCGTCGGAATCGTCCTTCATCCTTGCCCCCTCCTAGCCTGAGTGCCTTGGGTGAGGGGCGCCCTCCTGTCCCTGCTCAGCCCCGGCCAGCAGCTGGAGACCGTCGGGAAGGACCTGGGTCGCTGCCTGTGTGGCTTTCACCCTGGCTGATCCACAGGGTGGGGGCCATGGCAGGAGCCACCCGCTCATCCGAGGACGCTGGCCCAGCACGGCACATTGGCAGCATCCTTCTAGTCCAGTCAAAGCACAAATCCTCCAGAACCACCCACGAAGGGTGTGGCCGGCGTGCTGTGGGGGCCGGGCCACCACAGGCCTCGGGAAGGCCTCTCCCCTAAGGCCACGCATCGTCCTGCCCTTCATGGAGGCTGTAGCCGCTGAAGGAGCTCCGTCTGGGGCTGGCCCCTGTGTGGGCCTGAGGTCCAGGTGCCCGGAGCCCTGCCCAGCGGAAGGGACTGCGGGGCCCGGGAGGCACCCTGTCCTGTGGGCGACCGTTGAATAAAGCCATCTCGGTGAGTGTGGTTTGGAACCTTGCTTTAATTCTGAAGACCCAGAGCCTTTGTGTCCAGGGGGGGTCGGACCCCCGCCCAGGCCTTCGGCACCTAGTATCCTGTTTGTCACCTTATCGTGGGCTGGGTGATGAAAGGGGACCCGGGGGACCAACTGGCCTTTCCCAGGGAGGGTGGGGTTCAGCTCCCAGCACCTGTAGTGAAAGAGCCAGTTTGGCCAAGGTTTCCAGAAGATGCGGAGCCCCCAGGGCCCCCTGCTGCCTGGACTGGAGACTCCCCCACGTGTGCTCCGTCCCAAGTCTGCATTGTAGGGGGTTTGTGCCAGGAGCTCAGGCGGGGAGTCCCCCCCGGGCCAGCACTGGTGAGATGATTGGGAAGGGGGCCCGCATGATAGTGCCCCTACCATCCCCGGTGTCCGGCCACCACCTGCTCTGCCTGGGGCCCCCTCCACTCCACACCCCTCCCACACAGTCATTCCACAGGCTTTGGCTCTACCCTGCAGTCAGCACCGCCCTCCTGGAGGGGGCCCAGCTCCCAGAGGGGAAATAGGCTCAGGGTAGCAACTTGCCGAGGGGCACCAGCTGGAGAGGTCCAGCCTGGCTGAGAACTTGGGTGTCCCCGACTCCAGGTCCACAGAGGCCCTGAGGGGCCGCGAATCTCAGGACCTCAGAAGCTAGGACGGGGTCCGGCGTCCCCTCCCCCCAGAGCCCATCCTGACCCTGAGTTGGGGCCCGCCACGAATTCTCTCCTCTCCCTAGAGAGACCCCCGGTGGCAAGGGACGAGGAGGGGGCTCCCAGGCAGCCAGGTCACCTGGTGCATCCAGCTCCGACATCTCCCGACGACACCTGCTGGGTGCCAGGGTTTCAGCACCATCAGCTCCGATGTCCACACCACAGACCAGAACCACCCCCATGTCTCCACCTGGTGCCCGGCCGCCCCCACTCCAAGGCAGGCACAGAGCTTTCTGAACCAAGCTGCACCCCACCCTGCACAACAGTCCTAGGACACCTCTGCATCTGTGCAAGCCTCCCGCGGCCACTGCAACAGGTCACGGCCACCTTGGCCGCTTAAAACCACACGGATTGATTCTCTGACAGTTTGGGTTCAGAAGTCCTAAAACCCCGGCGTGGGCAGGGCTGGTCCCCCCAGGGCCCCAGGGAGACCCGGCTCCGGCCTTTCCCTGGCCCGCGGCCCCCCCTCCATCCTCACCGCCAGCAGCGCGGGGTCTGCCCATCTCTGGGACTCCCACCCTCTGCCTCCCTCTCGTGAGGGTCTCGTGAGGATCTCGTGAGGGCGCCGGGCCCCCCAGGAACCCAGGGTCACCCCCTCCTCGGGGGCCCTGACAGGGTTCCCTCTGCCACGTGAGGGGACATGTCCACAGGTCTTCCCGGGACAGGGATGTCTTTGGGGGACTTAGTTGTCAGGCCACATTACCCCGAAGATAAAATTCCTTATCTCCCTGGGCAGCCCGTAGACTTGACCATCTCTTCCTTCCTTCCAAGCTCACTCCAGCCCCCTGGCCTTCGCCCATGTTGTCCCTCAAGGGGAATGAGCGGTTGCTACAGAAGCCCAGGAACGGGTCGAGCTCAGGATCCACCAAGTTTGAGGAGGAAGGGACCCTAAGGGTGACCTAAGGCAGTGACGTGAACAGAACAAGTTGGGAGTTTACTGGTCAAGACCTGGCCGGGTGGGCAGGAGCGGAGGGACCAGCTTGCTCAGATTTCTAGAATAGTCCAGTGGGATGGCCACCAGCCACATGTGGCTATATCAGTTTCAATTGGTTACAACTAATTAAACGTCCCATTCCTCGAACCCAGGCCTGGTGGCTACGAAAGCAGACACAGCACATGGAGAACATTCCATCATCTGGAAAGTTCTATTGCCCGGTACCGTTCTAGAACAGGGACTCTCAGCCTTTGCTAGGGGGATGCTCAGACGCCACTGTAAGATCAGGTAAGGGTTGGTCCAGGTTCAGGCACTCAAAACGTGGAAATAATCCCAGGGTCTATCAACAAACAAGCGGAAACAGCACAGACAGGAGTGAGGTGCAGACATGCACTGCCCCAGGGACGGATCCTGAGCCCAGGATGTCCGGGAGGGAACCGGACACACAAGGCTACTGTGGGTTTTTTGTTCCAATGTGATGTTAATTTTATGCTGAGGGACACCCAGACAGCTGGTAAATGTGAGTTCTGGGGGTGCCCGTGGCTGTGTCTGGAAGAGATGAGCATTTCTTCAGCGGACGGAGTGAAGACCTCGTCCCGTCCACGTGGGCACCATTCACCAGGGGCCCGAATGCGACACTGGAGGTGGAGGAAGGGCTAACTGCTCTCTTCTCCCCGAGCTGAGCCAACCGTGCTCCTGGACTGAATCACGCCCTGGACCCTCCCGGGTCTGTGGCTTGGCTCCCTAAGCGCGGGAGCCAGTCCCCTTGTCTCCCCTTGGAGATCTCTCCTTAGATCCTACTGGTTCTGTTTCTCTGGGGAGCCCTCACACAGCCAGTGTCCAGACCCACGGACATGAAAGGTCAGGAGAGGTCAATCCACAGAGACAAAGTGGGTTCGCGGGCGCTGGGGGCTCCGGGGCTGGGGAGGCGCTGCCCATGGGGATGGGATTTCTTGTTGGGGTAACGATAATGTTCTAAGACCAACAGTCGTGATGATCACACAAATTCTCAAATTTACTAAAAACCATTCAACGGTTTACTTTAAAAGACCAAACTTGGATGCACACGAATTATCCCTGTTTTAACAATAAGAAAATCTCAGGGTCTTAGGGAACCTGAAGCGTATGCAGAGATCCCAGCCAGTTAGGAAGGAGCCTGAGGGTCCCCCAAATGGCTGTGGGGAGAGCAGGTGGCCTGCAGTGTGGATGCAGCTGCCTGGCCAGGAATCTTTAAAAAAAAAAAAAAAAAAAAAAAAAGACAAACATTAACTTAGGCTGAGTTCAAGAAACGTGCCACGGGAGGCAGCACAAAGCAAGTCCGTTCAGGTGACACTGCAGAGGAGGCAAAGATGCTCCCAGGGGCCGGTGGCGTGGGGAGGCCCAGCAGCAAGGGGGCGGACGCAGCGCTCCGGGGTGTCGACCTGGGCAAGCAGAGCTGGTCAGTCAGTCGGACAGTGAAAACAGGTGTGTTTTCTGAAACTAATATAACACTGTCTGTCAGCTAACTGGAATTCAGATAAACACTTAGGGGGAAAAAGCTGTGTTTCATGGCATGTAAACTGTCTCAACAGCATCTGATTCACAAAGTTTAACTTGCGTCCACCCCCAAACTGCCCCCAGCACACATTCTGATAAGCAACAAGGCAGTAAATAGAAACTGTCCAGGGAAGACAGTTCTGTGGTTTTATATTCTTTGGCAATTTTTTTCCCCTTGGCTATTTCTTATTCTTTCAAAATGTGCCCACGGAGGAGGAGGGCGCCGCTGTCCGCCACCCCCCTCCCCGCGCTTGGGCAGCACGGAGCACACACCCGGGCTCCCCTGAGGGCGCCCCTGAAGCCCCACCACGGTGTTTCTGCTCTCTATTACAGCATTTCCCCAACAACGTTTGAAGAACTGCTAAAAAAAAAAAGTTAAAAACAAAGAGGTGAACTATCACTAAAATCCTCCTGAGGGAAAATAACCATGCCCAGCCCCATGCAAACCAGAGCAGACCCTCTTTTGCTGGTTTTGTTGGTTTCTTTTGGCATTTTCCTTCATACTGCTTTTTATCCTTCTTGCTCCCCAGCCCCTGCCCCCACGAGCCCCCTTCCCGTCCGCGGATGAGCCTGTTCCGGACGTGTCACCCACGTGGACGCACACCCCGCGTGGCCTTCTGTGTCTGGTTCCCTCCCCGAGCGTCGGGGGCTCAGGGTCCGTCCCCGGGGCCGTGCGTGTGGGCGCCTCGCTCCTGTTTGTGGCCCAGTGTTGCTCTGGTGCGTGGGGGACCATGTGTGTATCCGTGGACCCACGGATGGACGCCTGGGTCGTCTACACCTTCAGGCTTCGGTGAACACAGGGGTGTGTCTGCTTCAGTCCATTTTCAGTTCTCTGGGTTCACGGCAGGTGGGGCTGCTGGGGCTGTTCCTGGCACGCCCTGCTCTGTTCTTGGCACCCCTGCCTCCCAGGGGTTTGCCACCAGCCCCCCCACCCAGGGCAGCTCCAGCAGGGGTTCCGGTCACAAGTTCCCTCAAGTTCCCAAGCACCTGCTGCAGGTCAAAATAGAGAGAAGGGAAAGCCAACTTCCAGGGCCCACCCCACCTCATGGGACTTTCATGCTGTTTTCATTTACAGACATCTCCAAATGCATCTCTCAAAGGACAGTTTTTAAAACTTAAAAATACGTATTTTTTTTTTTTTTTTTTTTATCACGGAAGGTTCTGAAATGCAGCAAACAGACCAGCGCAGCCCAGGTGCTGCGACCCGGCCTCGGGAAGGCCGCTCAGGGCCCACACCACCTCCCAGCACCGCCTCCTGCCTCCATGTTATCCCAGCACACTCTACCAGAGGGATCTCCGACGCAGAGCAGAGTTGGCTGGATCAGACAACGACCATCCCCCGCGCACCACCTGCACCAGCCACACACGGGTTGGCATGGAAGGGTAAGCGGTTCTGAGCACCCAGGGACTCTGTTTGAGAACGGTGTTGGTCATCCTGCCTGGGGAGGTATTGTGGGTTGCATTGTGTCTCCCCAGAAAAGACTGTCCATGTCCCAACCCCTCAACCTGGGAATGGGAGCTTACTTGGAAATAGGGCCTTGGCAGATGGAATTAGTTATGATGAGGTCACACTGGAGTAGGGCGGTCCTGAACCCTCCTGAGACAGAGATGTGGACGCAGATGCACAGGGAGAAACGGCGTGATCGTGGACACACACCAGGGTGATGTGTCCACAGCCAAGGGACGCCAAGGATGGCCAGCCACGCAGGAGCTGGGAGAGGCAGGAAGGACCCTCCCAGCCACACCTTGACCTGGGACTTCTGGGCCCCAGGACTTGGAGAGAATACATTGATATTCAAAGCCCCCCAGTTTGTGGTAATTTGCTAAGACCACAGAAAAGAAACGTGCGGGGCGGTGGGCGGGGGGCGGCGCTGGTGGCTCCGGGAACCACATAGTGGGGGCCGGGGATGCGGCCAGACACACACAGTGCCCAGCACAGCCCCCCGCAGAGAATGACCCTCCGGAGTGTCAGCACTGCAGGGGGAGAGCCTGTCCAGAGCCTGTCCACCCACCTTTTACCTGCGGCATCGTCCGCCTCTGCCCGTCCCTCACTCCATCCTGTTTCTGGTGTGTTTCAAACCACGCCACAGACACCACCTTCTGCCTCCTAAATACGTCAGTGTGCAAACTGCTCATCGGTCAGTGGTTTACAGATCTTTTTATTTTTTTCAAAAGATTTTATTTGTTTGACAGAGAGAGAGCACAAGCAGGGGGAGCTGCAGCAGCGGGAGAGGGAGAAGCAGACTCCCCGCTGAGCAGGGAGCCCAATGCAGGTCTCAATCCCGGGACCCTGGGATCATGACCTGAGCCGAAGGCAGTCACTTCACAGACTGAGCCACCCAGGTGCCCTAAAGTGCGCCACCACAGGGCCATTCCTACCCAATCCCTACAGACACCCAACAGGCCAGCATGTGCACATCCTGACTCCATGGAGCCCCGGTTCCCCTCTCTCTTCTGACTCCTAATCTGCTTGTTGTCAAACAGCCTCCTTTGGGAATTGGCAGTAGCCTTGGCTCCTGATGGCTGGTTGGCCACGGCCAAAGGCTCGCCGGTCCCCCAGACCCACTCTCCAGAGCCCCACTGCACACAGCTCGGCACCACTCCAGTCCACTTGTCTCCCCGGGCCAGCACCTGTGTCATCATTCACTTCCTCTCTTGTTTTGCTGGAGTGCACCCTGCAGGATGCTAAGCTGATTGGTGAAGACCTCGCTGGCCTGAAACATCTTGATTCTTCCTCCCACTTGACTCAGACCTTGGGCTCAGCCACCCCTTTCCCCTGGAACCCAGGCCTTCTTTTTCCTGATTGTTCGGAGTATGGCCCGGAAGCACTCAGGAGTCCCAGCTCCACGAACTCGTCTTCCCAGGACAAGCTGCGGGGCCCTGGCTACACCCTTCTGTGGTTTCTTGGACAGCTTCCCTCCATTTCCTTCGCTCTCTGGGATTCTTGAACGGTTCCTGTTTTTTCTCCCTCCTCTCTGAGTTCTCACTTATTTTTTTGCCTGACTCTCTAGGTTTCTCCAACTTGAATCTTCCAACTTCTTGCTGAAGTTTTAATGCCGGCTACTGTGCTAACTCCCAAGCCCTCTCTCGTTCTGTCTTCCTCCGTCACCTTCCCGTTGGCTGGATGCCTGCAGTGGAGCAGAGCCTGCACGCCCCCCAGGAACGCTGGTGTCTCCAGGGGGCGGCCAGCAGCTTGGGGCAGGGTCCCCCAGGCCACTCTGTCCTTGTTTCTCCTCCATCGGTGGATGCTGCCTCCCCTCCCAAGTCCCCCAGAGGGGACTGGGAGCAGAAACTGGGGAGCAGAAAGGCACCCAGCTCGTCTGAAGACCTCTCCATGGGGACTGATGGGGTCAGGGGGTGCTTTAAGGAACATATGTATGTGGGTGCATGACCTCCAGAAGTGCATTCCGGAGCAGACCACACTGTGTCACCACCAAATTATTCTCCCCTCGCCCAGCTCAAATGCCCTATCCTCCACTTTTGACTTCTCCCTATACCCCAGCTCCCTCCGGAGCCCCTTTCTCAGAGCTTACCCCCTGCTCCCTTTTGTTTCTCCCTCTCCTTCCTCCAGCTCACCCAAAGGGCAGCCCACCTGCCTCCACCCTGGCTGGGGCCCCAGGAAGGGGGATCCGCATGCACCAAGGCCTGGCCCTGAGAAAAGGCAGTGATGGTGAGTGCTGGGGGTAGCGGGGAAGGGGGACCTGAGGCTGGCCAGCTGGGCCTGGGCCTGGAGCACCAGGGGACATTTCTGTGGGGGAGATGGGGACAAGGCCTGTGGCCGGGTAACAAGGAGGGTGTGCCAGGATGTGTCCAGAAAGCACAGTGGATCTGCAGGTCCCTCCAGGTCCTCTGGGAACTTGGTCCCATGGGGAGGGGACAAGACATAAGTTATTATGAAGTAATTAAGACTCACAAGTGTTCAAGTGCACAAAAGAGAAGTCTGGGACCCTGAGAGAGGAACTTGGGCTGGATGTGACTTGGGGGGGTCACGAAAGACATTTTAGGCAGCAGCAACAAGGCAGGGAGGCACCAGGGCCCTAACCAGAGGCACCTCTCAGGGCAGTCTGAGCGGGGGAGGCTCAGGCGCCACATGCGGCAGGCGATGGGGTTCCCCGGTCAGGGGGAGAGGGGCTGGCAGGCAGAAGGGGCAGGCCGCTCACGCTCCCACCTAGGCAGCTGGTGTCCTCCGCCCCAGGTCCCCTAGCCAGGCAGGAACCTGGGCCGGCGTCTGCTGGGAGACTGGGGCCGATGCACCGGCTGAGGTCCAGCCTGCTCCCAGCCCATGGATCGTGTGAGAACTCCTTCCCCCACCGCGGAGCACAGAAGACCCCGAAGGGCGGCTGGAGGGAGGGCCGCCAGGGCAGGGTGGCTCTGGAGGTGGACACGCAGGGCAGGGCGCCCGGCGCCCCGGGAGCAGGAGGGTCCTCCGGCCGGCGGAAACCAGCCCAAGCCGGGAAGCTCTGCCGCCCACGTGGCCGAGGCTCGGGCTCCGGCAGCCCCCACCCCAGGGCTCCCACCCAGGACCGGGCGCGCGCGCGGGCCCGGGCCGCGGGGGGCACCGCGAGGTGAGGGTTGGCGGGGCGGCGCCAGGGGGGCCCAGCGGGCACCTACCTGCGGCCGCGCCCGCGCCCCGCCACGTGACCGCGCCCCGCCCCGCGCGCGCGTGCGCCCTGCCTGCGCCCCATTGTTGGCCGCGCGCGCGTCACGGGGCGGGGCGGGGCGGCCGGAGGAGGGCGGCGGGCGGGCGGGAGGGAAGCAGCGTCCGCGCCGCCGCCGCC